AAGATGCTGAGTTCAGAGTCCAAAGCGAGAGTGTATGAGGGAATGAACACAGGGTAGGCATAATACGGGTGCTGTCAGGAATGGGTACCAAGGAAGGGAGAGAATAAAGAGGAAGAAATGAAAGATCCCACAGGTCCCTTGGGGAAAACACAGAAAACAAAGGAGTTGACATCTTTGGTAGCTGTGATTATTCTTTTTTTCCTCCCTTCATTCATCTCCGCTGAGTTCCCATATATTGATCCTACTCAGTACAAAATAAAACCTGTGACATATTGCAGTGTTCAGTTAAAGTAAGGGCTTAGTGCAAGTGCTTTGCCAGGGCATTCAGGAAGTTCTGGTTCATCTTGCAGACTTGCTAAGTGACAAAGCACTAAGAACAGGAGCTATGGGGCCAATAGCAAATCCCTTTTGCCTGTCCTCCTGGCCTCATGTCTTAATATTGCTGTTAAGGGAGGGAATTTGGGGTGCTTCAAGGTTATTTTAGGTGCCTTCGATTCTCCCAAGAGAGAGTGAAATTAGCCAGCGCCAGGAAGAAAACTTAGAACATCGTAGAACAGCCAGAGTGTGGAACTGTAGCACACTGATTACGTGACTTGAGGACAGGACCGGCAACACCTCAGTTATAAACCCAGCTCTGCAAACCAACTTTCTTGAACAGCCCTGGATTTACATCAGCCTGTCCATCTGTATCCACATCCAAATACTCTGTTCTTCCTGAGTCAGGAATTAGTTGCACAGTGCTCTGAAGAGCCATACCAGTAGGTAAGGGCTGCGCATTACTAACAGCATCTGTCATCATCCCTTCAATCCATCCTTTCTGATTTCTACATAGCCAGAGCCTTCACCTCCCATGTCAGTAGTCTTTATCCCTGCCTTTGAAGGCAGCAGGATCAGACTGTCAACGGACAATCCTTACTTCATATTTTAGTGATGATTTCTGCCTGGTACCATCTTCCTCCCATTTCCACTTTAGCCTTAACATATCTAGAAATGTTTTAAGAAGTGCTATATTTGATGCCAAGTATATTTGAATGTTTTTACTTTTGTTTAATTAAATATGAATTGGTTTTTATGAATGCATGGCACTCTTTGTTGTGATTATCCTAATTTTATCCCTTTGTCTTCCTTTTTCACTTTGCTCCTGGTTGGCATGTTAGAGAATTTAAGAGGTACAGTATGCATGTTTTGGCATGGCACATCTAGCTTATGTTGCGAGTCTGCAGAATGAGATTAGTCAAAGGCAAATTCCTTGGTAAAACTTATGTTACCAGATTTTAGAGCAAATGAATAAACTACCATTTGGGCAAAAGAAAATTCTCTAATAGAGATGGCCTTTATCAGGAATGCTCAATAGATTGGAGGGCAGGATACACATCTAATGATGCAAATCAGAATTATACCATTATACTCAAATTTTACAAGAAAATCCTAGGACTGTGCTTTTCAGAGTCAAAAATTTTAACCTTTTGTGTTTACTGACAAGCTTGTCAAAAGCTTCAAAGTAAATGTTAGTGAAATTTTGCATGGCTGATTCGTGTTCTCTAGATGTTAAAGTTCATTTCTAGTTTAGAACTAATATATATATAAAAGCTCTCTTTGTAAAGTGCACTTGAAATTATTTAAGGGTCAGCATCATTTCTTGGCTGGTTTTGCCACTTTATTTCTTGAATTTCTTTCATTCTGAGCACTGAAAGTAGCATAATCAGTTTATGATAGTTTCTGATTTAATTTCTTTGTTAGGTTCCTGTGCCCTAGCACAACGATCCAATAGTTGGCTGCAACTCTTAAGTGGGAATGTGGCTTGTGTGTTTTAATTGCTGCTTTATGATTCTTTTGTATAAATTTATACGCTAAATCAAATCCTAAATAAAATGGCTTTTTTTTTTTTTTTAAATAAATGAACCAAAATCCAGATGAACATCTCTGCCATATCACCACCACCACCCTTCATATACTTCAGTGAATACAAGATTTTCTCTTTCAGTTGTTTCCACTTTTTAAGCCAGATTGGGAAAAACTTCCCATCTCAGAGCACATTTCCATTGGGAATGCTGGTGCCTAGTTTCACCTTCCCCACTCAGTCCAAGTGATTTGGGCAGCTTTCACGTGCTGATTTTTTTTAGTCTGCATAGCCCCATTTTTGGTGTTTGTTCAAGAGGGAGTTCCCTGGACTCTGAATTTCAGTACAGCTGTTATATGCCATATATGCGATTATAATGATAAGTATGCTGTTACCACATTATACACCAGGGGACTAAAGTTGTGTTGTAAAAAGGTGGTTTTGCATTATTGCAAAAGTGACTTGTAGGCAGGGAGGGAGAGAGAACCCTTTCTTCCCCTCCCCCCCCTCAGTAGTTGGTTAAAGAAGTACTCACTAAATGCACAGTAACTAGAGTTGCTTTGCAGTAGCACTGGTGAATGCCTTTTTAATGACACTACTGCACAGTAGCCTAATAATACTGTGCAGTAGCATATTAGCACTGTCTGTGCTGTGACGTGCTATTGTGCAGTGTTATTAGGATACTGCGCATTAAGCATCTCGTGTAGACGTGCTCATGGAGTCCAGCTCCTAAAGGTTATCATAGGATTCTGTGACTGACCATATAACATTCCACATGTTCTCAAGAAAAGTCTCTTGGGAACGTATTCTGTTGCAGTGTGTAATGGAAAGATACTTCCATACAATTTTCCAACCCAGGCTACATACTCACTGGACTGCAACAATCTTTCAGAACTATCAAAAACAAATTACCTTCTTGTTCTTTACTTCCTGTTTTACTCTGGCCTATTCCATAAAATCATTATGGACAAGCAGCCATTGGTGGGTAATGCGTTGCCACACATCACCCAGCAGCAGCTGCTGGTCCATAATATTTAATTGCAGAAGTAAGTTTTCCTATCAACATCTAAAGTGTTTTGGAAACCTTTTGGAATTAAAGTTGCTGTCCAAACGTAAGATTGTATTATATTATGAACGTTGGTAGCTGTGCATTTTGCAGTAGCAGATTTTGAAGGCTTAAGAAGGGTGAGACATGACTAGTCATGTCAATACAGTTTAGAGCATTGTGGCGTACAGATAATCTAAACCAGTAAGAAGACTATACAATTCTTTGTTAAAATATCTCCTTGACTAAAGCCTTGCGTTCAGAAGGACTGCCTACCACAGATCTTGTACCTGGGTTATAAACAAGCCTCTGGGACAGAAAACGGGAAGCATTTACAGGAAAAAAATTTCCCTAAGCATATCTATACCGCAGAGTTGCTGTGCCAGGTAGGGCATCTCCAAGCATGCCATGCTGCTCTGCATAAACTAATTCCTGTTCCAGAAGCAGTGTAGCTGCATTCATGCTGTGCATGCTCATCACTGCCCACAGCACAATGTACGCAGCTTCATGACTCCTCTCCAGGAGGGTGCCCACACCAAGCATTACTAACAGCATCTGTTATCATCCCCTCGATCCATCCTTTCTGAGGGTTTGAGGATGTCGTGGCTTACCGTGGTGAGTTTGTGGGGTAGCACACCCTCCCTGGGGGCCATTTAACTGGGGAGTGGAGAGGCGGCTACTGTGCAACACTGCTTACATGTAACTGCTGCAGAGAGACCGTGGCCGTGTGTCGCAGAGCTTCCAAGCCAGCCTCTGCATGTACTTGCACAAGAGCATCTCTGCTGCTTCACAGGATTTGTTTTCTTGCCAAAAGGAAATCTGAAAGTTAATAGAGTTTCAGGCCAGGGTATAAAAAGAAAAACCAAACCCTCTCAGGTCATGTGTTTCACATGACATCTAAATGCATGCATGCTTCAAGATTTTCTTATCCAGGTCTGTGTCTTTAACTGCTTGTGCTCATGTCTGGGAAACTTAAAAAAATTAAGCAATTTGAATGAGCAGAGAGGCAGAATCACACAGAGCAAGACTACCATTTTTAAGTCATATGCGCTACACATATACTTTATTCTTGTGTACTGTTTGTGAATTCATTGTTACTAAGTAATAACCTACAATACTTTGTTTATATTGGAGTTAGGGAGCCATAGCACCAACTGTATTGCTAATTCAGTTCATGCATACTTATTTGTATCATTTAGCCCAATAACATTTAATTGATTTGTGCAGTTCTGCTTCTAGCTGGAGAGGGATTTTTTTTTTTCAGATGGACTCTGACATTTTCCACACTCAGTTGGACAGGCAGAAAGGATTTCTGCATGAAAGCCAAATTCAGCTCTAGGGTTGTCACTTGATGTCACTGAAGATGCACTAAGTAGCTCATTTGTCCTAGTATTTCATGAAAAGGACAATGCTCCTATCGGTGCTGCGTTTCTCCTCTTCCTCATGTGTGTGTTTACAGCGTGATGGGACTAGATCAGATAATAAGTATGTCCAACACCTCCGGTTGGATTCTTATCCCCTTGTACCACAGCACTTCAGTGTTAGCATTAGGCTTGCATGTCAGGCCTGCAGTGGTCCCTCAGGTCATGCCCAGCCTGATTAGAAGCAAAGTATTCCCCAGTGGGTCTTTACAGGGTCCATTTTTCCTAGTGATTTTTTTTTTCCAGTTCTTTCAGTTCCTGGTAACATAAATGTATTTTTGATTATTAACATGGTTTAGTCTCTGAGGTAATCATCGAGCAGTCTGGATGAGCCCTACTGCTTTGGAGAGCCCAGTCCCAACCCTCCTTGGAGCACATGAACCACTTAAGACGTGCTTCTTGGCCAATACTGCTTGATGAAAATATGAGGGAAAACATTGCTTGAGGAAAAGCTCTGACTGGCTTTTCTCCAGCCAGACAACACCCTGAGGCATTTCTTTCAGACCCCCAGTGCTAGGAAAGGGAGAAAAACCTGAACACAGACTGTCCGTTTGGTCATTAAGCCATGCTTTTGAAAGGCTGGAGTTTGCTTTCTCCCTTTCTTGCTTTCTCAAGTCCTCTAAAGCCTCTGCTGGACTTGAGAATGACAACTACCACAACTAATGATAGTACCACTCTTCCCAAACACCTTTCATCCAAGGAGCTACGGCTTTGAGTAATAAGCTAGGATCTCAGTAGAAGCACAGTGCTCTACACAGCTCACTTGATCTGCCAGTAAAATGCAGCCCCCGCTGAGAGAGCTGTTTATCAGCGTGCAGCCACACCGCACAAGAGTTCTGGGGAAGGAATTGAAGCATATTGTATCCAGGTGAAATACATGGGGTACTTAGGAAAGCAGAGTGTATTTTATTTACCTCTGGAATTTCCCCCAGAGGTTAGAAGAGGTGACACCAAAGCTGTTATATCAGTGCCCTCCCCTGCGTGGACAATCTTAAATGACTTGGGAGACACTTATATTCACTTTGGGTTTGTCTACGTGCAGAGTTGCACTGCTACTTAATATGTGACTTTAAACTGTTTGACCAGCAAAAGGCTGGTTAAACTGGTGCAAATGACTTGGGGGAGAGGGGGGTGTTAAGCTAGGGTTATACTGGCTTAGTTTAACACCGTTCCTAACCAAGGAGACAAACTACAATGTGCCACTCAACACAACACAAAGCCCTGATCCTATCAAGATGTAAGCATGTGCTTAACATCACGTAGTAAAAGAAGCCCAGTTGGAATCAATGGAAGTACATCAAACTGAACAGGCAGGGTTGGAGCCCACAAACTTCCAGTCATGGACTTGCACCACCTGAACAGGTGCAGACCTGATGTCAACTTTATTTACTGGCTGAAGCTGAATCAATACGGCTAAGTACAGACAGTCAAAAAACCCGAGACTGAATTGATTCAGTCTTTGCAGGTTGTAAGTCTAAGCTGTGTAGACTGAACCAATAAGCAAAGGAGTAGACATTCATTTTTGATTCTGGAAATGCAGCCACATGCCTGCAGTGGCCCAAGCCAAAAGCTGGGAAGTGCTAGAGCACACCTGCCTCAGCTGGAGCAGACCTCTTGGGCCAAAGCTAACCTGCCCACTCTGCAAGTATAAGGGGGATGGGATTGCAGGGAAGTACAAAGCATCCTAGGATGCTGGGGGACTGTGAGTTAACCTGAATGTGGAGGGGATCCAAGACAGAAGTTCAAGGTTAAACCAATTTAACCTAAACCAGCTAAGTTTGGTACTACATTAATCCAGGTTTATCTTAAACTAGTTTAGCACATTTTGAAAGCAGTTTATATGCACTGAACTTCTGCTGTGTTACAAGTTAGAACTGGTTTCCAATCACTTATACTGGTTTATGTGTAATTTCTGTCCCTAAGAGAGACTTTGAAACCACAGTAGAAGGTCTGTACAAATGGACTACACTAGTGCTATAGTTAAGGCATCCATTTTCAGTTTTCAGGACACCTCCACAAGCATGGAAATTAGAAACAGAAGTAAAGTCAGTTTAAGAAAGCTAAGAAAACTCGGTTTAAGAAAGCTAAGACTCATCAGCAAGGCCTGGACTCCAGGGCAAGGAGTGAAATCACAGAATACAAAGGCTCTGATCCAAACCTAAGTAAGGCCAAACACCGCTGATCTTGCTCCCTGGACCTGTTCCATTGATTTCAGCAAGCCAAGCAGGCTTTGGCTTTAAATCTGGGAATTTTTCCCAAACCCCAGAGAAGAGGACAAAGTGTTCCTAGAGTGCAGCAGCTGAAGGTCAGCTGTTGTCATTGATTGCTCTGGAGACAATTGCCTGCTCTTACCTCACAGCAGTTTACCTTTCCACAGGGCTTTGGGGACTTTATGTCCTGGTTCATGGTTTAGTCAGCATGATTGACACAGAAAAAGCCAGGACTCTGCCCCTATCTGAGTGGTGACTCCCAGGAGGGGTTAAATGTGGCTGATCTAGTCTCTTGCTCTTTTTTAAATATTTGTTCTTTGTTTACATAGTGAAATGGCTTGTGATTTATGGGGAATAAAATACTCTCTCAGTCCAGTCCCTTCAGTCCTCACTCACATGGAATTCCTATTGATTTTAGCAGTTTTGACTGAGGAAGGATTTGTCCTTCAGTTTCCTTTCAATTGCAGTTGCCTTTAGCCGTCCTACATGCCTCTTCTAACCCAGTCTTACAAAACTTTAGCATTGTTATTTTAGATTCTAGATTAAGTAAAATGAATTCTTGAGCTTCATCATAAACTGCTTTCCTGTATGTTTCAGAAGTTGTTCAGAAGGGCAGGATAGGAGTTTTCTGATTTTTATAGAAATACTAAGTGATAGTGCTCTAGTTGGTCACCAAAACAAGATCTTGAAAAATACCTTATTAACTGTCCTTTTGCTGTTCCTGGGTCAGTAGTGCCACACACTATATGGTCATAACAGACTTTCAGATGAACAGAAATCTCATCTTGTAGAAGGAGAAGGAAGATTTTAAAAGGCTCGCTCTATTTTCAAGCTGTTCTCTCTTCTGTGTCCAAAGTTTGTGTGCACAAAACCTTGTGGATGTAATCAGGTGCATGTCAGATCGCACAGGTCAGGCAGTTGGAAGTCAAAGTGTCCCAAATGGCAGAAGGCCTAAGTTCCTTACCTGAAAATCCAGTCCAGAGTTCCCATTTTTGTCCGCATGGGTGGTGCTAGGGGAGTTTTGGGGGGGCTATAGCCACCCCAAAATTCACCTTTTCCCCACCCCCGTAGCCACCCCTCCCAATACCACCCCTGTCCAAGTCCCCTGCCTCCTTCCCAGTTCACCACCTGCTCTGTGCATTTGAATTTGCCATGCTCCCACCTGCAGAGGCACGGCGCCTTAAGCGGGTATTGTTAAAAAATGGAATGTTTGACCATTGGCCAGATGTATCGCAGCCCCCACAGTTTTCTGACTATCCCACCTCAGCCCCCTCACTGGGAAGAGGCTGGCACCACCCCTGTTTGTCCCTAATGAGCCAGCAAGTTTTACCCTTAAAGCCCAATCCTGCAGTCCTTAAGGAACAGAATCCCACTGAACTAATTGTGATCAGCTTTCAGAGCAAGAGAAGCACAAAAAAAAAGTAATTAGAAGTCCCGTCCCTGTAAAGGTCTGTAAGATCAGTGCCTATAATGGCAGCCTACTGCTGTGACATTCACCTAGGATTGTATCCTGGTATTTTAAGTGTGTACAGATGGCACCTGACTCCTCTTTTGTCTCCTGCTTTTAGATTATCAGAACAGAATAGTCTTTTAACTATATCTGCGCAGTATAGTGATTGTTTGACTCATTGGCTACTAGAGACCAGCAAAGGCTGTTTGTAGTTGAGAGACAGTAAATAGAGTAAATGTACTCTATTTAGTACATTTGATCATTCAAAGGACCGAGTGCATCCACTGCAGACACATGGAATGAAGATGATCAATTTAGCATTCCTTGTCTGTTTGTTATCAGCACAGCCCTTGCACACAATACTGCTGTTCTTCCAGAGAAATGTAAAGGCCCTAGAGTAGAATATTTCTTGGGAGGAAAGATCTTATGCGTTTGATACGTGCATCAGTTAAGTAGCCTAAGGATTCAAGCTCTGCCAAAATAAAGATGTATAAGTTGCCTTGTTATGTATTATGCTACCCATAAGAACAGTACTCCCAGATCTTATCCCATAGGCAGCTCTGTCTCTCCTATCTAAGCCAGGCAGTGTCTTTGAAAAGATTAGATAGTGATACTGGTCTGATCTGCTCAGTTCGTTTCACTTTCTGGCCCTCAGTGCCCTACCATAGTTGCAGGCATTGCACTATTATGGGTATATGTAAATCCCGCAGCACCACCCAACATCCTCACTAATGCTTTTTCAGTTAAAAATAATGCCAGAGGAAATAGATTTTGAAGCAATTTTTAAATTTTTTGAATTCCTCTGACAAAAACTACTTAACATACAATATTAGCTTACATACTTTTGTTTTAAGCTGTGATGCCTTATGAGCCATGACACTTATTTTATCTCCTCTGATAAGTGATGCTAAGATTCTTTGGACAATTGTTCCTTAAATACTGTTTAAAATCTTCAGAAAAAATGAAGGCAGTGCTCCTTTAATACAGAATGGTTGAGGATGCACTGTGCGCCACAGTCAAGAATCTTGAAAACAGCTTTAACCCCAGTGAATATTATTATAAATAATCTCTTTAGTGATCACAGACTGGGGAGCAAATTAGAAGTCCGGGTCTTTGACCTGCCATTCATTGCTCTTTAACATTTCTCAGAAGGCTTTTCCTGCTTATGACATCTTAGTTAAATCAGCATTCCTTGTACCTTTGTATTATAGGCAAAACAGCAGCCCTTTTGATGCGTCTTTGCAATGTATACAGCAGCTAAAGCGATTAAGTTAAACTAATACACTTAATTGTTGCAGGTCTTCCCCTGCTTACTGTAAAGACATGCCACATAGAAGGGCACAGATACACCTATGTAGCAGTAATAATGTTTTCCTTCCACAAATTGTCCCTTTTCCACTCCTCCGTTACTGATAGTTTCCCTATCTATAACAGATCATGGGAACTAATTCATGGTACTCCTGACATAGCTGGAAAAAGGAAGAAAAATGGGCCAAGCTGCATTTGGGTTTCAGTTCCCAGGGTGAGGCTTTCCGAAGTGACTCCGTGCTTACCTCCTAAGTGAGCGAGGCATTGTCTCATGTACTACCTTGCCCCGAGCAACATCTGCCCTAGGGGATCTGGAGCCCCTGTCACACTATACCTTCCTTATACAATGAGCTGTGCTGGGAGTCTCTGGTCAAGAGCCCTGTGGGCACAGGGTTTAAGGGCTTTAAAAATATTTGTTTTTCACTTGCATCAGATAGAGGTGTGGGTAGGGGAGTGTCATACCACCACCAGGGATCTTGAGAATGGCTGTGACCCTGAGGAGTTAGCTGCATCAGGGGAAAGGCCAAGAACCAAAGTGACCCCAGCAATTACACAGCCTTCTCTTACGCCTCAGCATGCTCTCTGTTCATCATGGTGAAAGCACATTGGCAGGGAGGCATAGAAAGAAACAGGCTGTCTCCAGAGGTGAAATCCTCAGCTCTGCTTCAGTCCCTGTAAGCTGGATAAAAGGGTTAGAGCAGTAGAGAGAGGCAGGATTCCCTAGTGAAGCAAGGAAAGAAAAGAGTTGCAGGTTGCTTTCCAAGGGCTTCCTCTGAAGTTTTGTCAGAGCAGGGTGTTGGGATGAGAAGCCTCCGTGGCTTTGCTTTCAGGTGCAAAAAAAAATGTATTCTTGCTTAAATACATTTTTTCTTGCAGCAAAAATAAAGCCTTGGAGGCACAACAGAGAATTTCACTCAGGGCCTTCTTCACAGCTGCTATTCCAGTACCTCACCTACTCAGTAAATTCACACACATGCAAAATTGATGGGAGGAAAAATTGAGCAGAAAAACACATGTGCAGAAAGCAAGTATTCTTATCATCTTAACTTTAATAACAAACTCATCACTGGCAAAAGGGGACAGAGCACAGTTAAAGTCAATTCTGTTTCACCTGCTTACAGCAGAGCTGGCCTTTAGCCCTCAGTGTGTTTCCATTTTTCACCATCTAGGTCAGAGCTGCCAACTATTTGATATTCTATAGCAGAAGCATCTAGAAAATGTCACCACCAGTTGTCAGTTTGATAGAGATGCTTGTTAGAGGCTTAGCACCTTGAGGAAGCTATGCATAGGCCAGCCAAGAAGGAAGAAATAGTATGCTGCATGCTGCTATGGTTTGTTAGGGAAATAGAAAATTGTATAAATATTCAGCAATTGATTAGCTACTCCCACTAATATAAAATCACCAATCCTCAGTGAACTAAGGCAATCGTCTGCCTAAGCTGAAAAGGGACAGTGCACCCTTAGCAGGAGAGGAGTCTCTTGTGTGTGAGCAAATCCCTGATTTGCACATACAAAGTAGGTCCCTGCAGTAAATACACAGATGGATGAGGATTGGATTATTCAAGATCAGGCTCTCCTGACTGTTCTAACACAATAGGAGATTAATGGAGAAAGGATTGAGCACTTCAGGCACTCCCAAGCTGACCCTTGCACCTTCTTCTGTATGAGCTAAGAATATGTCCAGATCGTGGGACTGGTAGGCTAGCTCAGCTAGCAGTTCAGGGAAGACAGTGGTACAGGCTTCTGAGTAAGTACCTCAGAGTCTGGATGGGATTGAACTGAAGCTCATGGTGCTGCACCTTCACTGCCTTGTTTTCTAAACTATGTGGATTACAGGTTGCTCAGGTATGTCTGGGCTGCAGTCACAACACTGACTGTAGCGTGGATATCTCTTATGGGATAATTATACATGTGTCTGGAAGAGCATAACCCAGTATCAGTGTGATCTTGCATGTTGATCATGTAAATAAGCATTATGATGTGGCTTGTATGTATGGTATAAATGTAACACCAAATTAGTGCTAGATTTATCCTGCCCTGTGCACTTCAGGTATTGAAATTTTTCTCTTTTCCTAGTGGCCTCTTCATAAGGCTGCAGACAGATGTATTTCTTTTGAGTCGAGACAAAGGCCTCTTGTCCCAGAACTCTTCTCTGTTTAAATCTGCCATTAAAAAAAGGATTCAACCCCTACAAAAATGAAGGAAATAATCAGTTTTAATTGCATTTATTCTTTTCTTTAAAAGAAAACTCTATTCTGTCTTGTGAACAGGCTCAGAGTCCGTACCTTCCCCACTATGGAGGAGTTGATGTGCATTTCACTGGCATGATTGACTGCTTTAGGCAAACGGTGAAGCACAAAGGTGTGCTTGGACTCTGGAGTGGACTCACGGCCAGCCTGCTCAAGGTAGGAATTGCCTTCAACCTGTTTTCAGCCAGCCAAGACAAGCTAACGGGTGACTTGTGATCATCATAACACACATGATGCCATTCCCATTTATGCTGAGTAGCACGTTTGTAACAGAAAAAGGTATCATGAAGCTACTGAGTATATCTTGGTCTTCCTCAAAGTTGCTGCTTCTCAAATTACACCATCCTCAACAATTTTATTCCAGTCCATTTGGGAAAGGAGAGAGAGAATCTAGGGAAAACTACTAAACATAAAGACCCATATTCTCAGCTAGGGTAGATCAGCAGAGCTCTGCTGAATCAGCTCAGGACAAAGAAGAAAATCAACTCTACCATGTGCAAAATACCTCTGAGATTTCCTGTTAGGATTTAATTATTTAAAAAATCACTTTGAAGCAAAGTACAATGCAGGTCCATTTCCCCAAGAAAATACTATAATCAGGGGTGTGCTTAGCATTTTATGGAGTGTTCTGCAGGCTCCAGACTGCGTTAATTAGTTTGTGGCCAGATTCTCAGGTAGGGTAAATTAACATAACTCCATTGACTAGGAGACCAGATCAAGACATGGAGACTGATGCACCCCAGCTTTTTGAGCTCTGAATAGGGAATCTTACTGGTGACTGTAAATTAATTGTTGATTTCTATCTGTATGGTTGTTTTTACAGGTCGTCCCATACTTCGGTATCATGTTTAGCACCTTTGAATTCTGCAAGCGGGTCTGTCTCTACAGAAATGGTTATATTGAATCTCCGTTAAGCTACAAGCTCACTCCTGGAGTGGACCAAAGTTTACAGCCACAGGAACTGCAAGAATTGAAGCTGCTTCGAAGAGGAAACTTCGAGTCGAGGAAACTTCAAGCCAAGGAAACCCACTCTTGAAAACTGAGCTGGGAAGCGCACGGCCTGGATGGTAGGCTAATATCATTCTGAATCAGCTCCACAATATTAAGAAAGCATAGGGTAAAGGAGGGTGTACTGAGCTATAGGTACCAGCCCCTCACTGTGGGACTGAAACACCTGTGTCAGACATTCATGGGTGTTGTAACTCGCGTAGGAAATGGACACAAGCTTACCTGCAAAGGAAAGACACAAACATTTTTGAACTACTACAGTACTGGAACTTAAAAACAACTCAGTGGAAGTGTTTTTAAATGTCAAATAGCCTTTTAATACTAAAGTCATTTGCAAAGAATGAGAGAGCTGAGAGATAAGCATGAATTGTAACTTAGCCCAAAAATCATTAGGGAATAGTAAATCTGTTTTTAAAATCCCAGTGCTCCTCGGGGCACTAGCGTCCGGAATAGTTACAAACAATAACTAGACTCCCTATCATGTGAGTGTATTGACCGAAATCTGTCCGTCTGAGATCCCATGTGGATGTGGCATTCTGAAGCTGCAGCTCTGTTCCCGCACAATTCACACCTCTGCTAATCCTCCCAATTCTTATTTTCAGCTTTTTGTAAAAGTTGCTTGAAAACAGTTGAATTTTCTACGAGTCCCTCTTGCAAACAAAGGGGAAATACCCTGCAGCTGTGCTCTTACCAAAAAAGAATCCTCATGTGTGCGGTGCGCTGAACTGACAATCTAACAAATCTAAGTACATGTTAAAATATCTTCTCACTCCCTTGTCCCCCCCTAGAATGCCACTGCCTGTACCTGAATCACTGAAAAAAGCAGCACTGTTTGTACGTTTTATTTGCTTTAACTACTGAACATTGCCTGAGAAATGCAGCTACCACATGGCTTAGCTGTCAGAGCCAACATCCTATCAATGTTTTTTCAGTATTTTATATTAAATTAATATTTTGGAATAAAAGATATGATCAAATGTTGAATCCTGTGCTATATTATATTTGCCCACTGCAACCTGAGATTTGAGTACAATAATTCCTTTTGACTCTTGTGATCTGAATCAAAATGTTTCCATGCTTCTTCTAGTTTCTTTCCTTTCTCACGTCCTTGTGGCAAGGTATTTAGCAGACTTTGCAGATTCACTGGAATCTAACATGGCTGCACCATGAGCACTTGTGCTATGGCCTCAAAGCTTTTGACCTCTGGACTTCCAGTCACTTGCCCCAGTGTCCCTGCTAGCAGAGCGGACTTTCTCCTAGATATGAAACTGGAATGCTGCACTGGAAGGACCAGTTTACTGGTAGCATAAATGTCACTAGTAGGCACTTGCTTGGCCACTGAAAGCTGATCCTGATTTTCCTGGGAGAAGAGCAAAGCTTCTCTGTGCATTGGTGGGGCATCCAATTGTAGCTGGCACAGAGTGCCTGAATTCAGGCACCTCACTGCCTTTGTGGAGCATTCAGGCTTTCAGAGGCAAAGCGCGCTAGGAAAAAAATAGAGCTTGTCCATGGAAATTTATAGCAGAAGGCAGCATCAGAATTCAGTCTTGTATTCAAGGAATGAAGCTTTTGAGAGCAGGAATAATAGTGGCCTTGTAGTATACCGTCACAGGGCACTAAGGTGCCTGCTTCTTTAAGAGCAGAATCTGCCTAGAGAGAGGGCCAGGCAGAAACCCCACACAGGTGCAGGTTACTATGGCAGCAGGCTAACAAGGGAATTAGCCTGCACTTGCACGGGGTCAGCTGGCCAGAAGAAGGCAGGGCCCTGGGCAGTATAAAACCCAGGGCTGAGGCCAGCAGGGGTTAGTTCTCTGGCAGCAGCCAGGGGAAGGAGCCTGCAGAGAAGAATTGCCCAGCGCCACCTGGTATGCTGCTCACAGGACTAATGGGGCTCCCAGAGCTCACCAGGTATCCTGGGCTACAGGGTACTTAATGCTTGGGGAGAAGTTTGCCTCTTTTAAAGAGACAGAGTGCACCCTGCACTGTTTGTATTACGTTATAGCCCAGGGGCTTGTGTTTTCCATCGTTATTTAGACCGGTGGACTGGGCTGAGGCTATTGGGAGACCTCATTGGGGCACACTACAGTGCGGGGAGCCCAGTGCCAGCGAGGGTGCAGAGCCAGGGCTGCGGGGAGCCCAGTGATGAAGGGAGGCTAAGTTATATCAAGGCCTCAGAGGGACAACTTTTTAATACCATCTGCGAAGCATGGGGCATGATAAAGGGGCGGCTTTGGAGTTATGCATCTAGCCCATAAGGCTTGGGGTGTCCTGTGAGGTACTTCCTTAGAGAGGGACCCAGTTAAGGGGTCTAAGAACCCACACGGCTTAGTGGGATCCACCAGAACCATGACTGCATAGCGTCTTGAGGGCAGCCTCCCTATCTAATGTCTATTATCTTAACCATCAAGATGTGCCAGGAAAGAATAGAAGGCACCCGTGGGCCGAAGCTAGCAAGGCCACAGGACCCTAGGGGTATCACGGCTGTCCCTAGGGACCCCACCCTTTGACATACATCTATGCCGAGAGCTGTCCACATGCTGCATAGTGCATCCCACCAGCCTGAGTCACACGACCTGCCCTTCTTCCATCCACATTACAACATTGTGTATTATAACACATACCAAAGCTGAGACTCGCATATAACACTACAAATGAATCCCAGCTGGGTGGGCTCCAGATCCTGGTCAGGGAAGGTAAGCAAGCCAGAGTTGTCTGTGTGATTGGCATGCTGAGTGTTTGTTTGCTGGGCTGTTTGGGCATGTGCTTGGAGCAGCTGGGAGTGCTGCTAGGTGGATGATTGCTCCCTGCATCTGACAAAAGCCCAAACAAAGGGGCAAAGCCAGTTCAGGTCCAGAAGCGTATAAAAGGTGATTCCCTTGGGGACCAAGGAGGGAGTGGACAGGGACAGCAAACAGGGAAGTTTGCAGATCAGTTCCTGCCTCTTTGAAAGGTAGGATCATGTCTTTAAATAAGAGTAACTAACCTATGTATATTTAGTGTAAGTAGCTACAACTCAGCAGTTAGACCAATACTTAAGCCCCTTGTTTAACTAGAGTCCAGAGCGAGGGGGAGTTTGCTAGGGAGACTGCCTGGAAACTCTCTCTCTTTCCTTCCTTCGCTGTAAGCTTGGTGAGAAGAAGCAGGTCAGCAGGGAAAAGGGAACCTTTGAAGACCAAGGAGCAGTGAACAGGTCAGCTTACAGGGAGCTGGCTAGGGAAGGCCTGCTTGGAGAGAGGGGCAGAAGAGAGGCGGCAGGTTTAAGAGACCCAGACAGATGGCTGGAGGATGCTGCAATGCCAGATCCACTGCCAGCTCTTCCTGTGCTTGCACCTGTGAGGTGTCTGTCTAGACAGGACTGTTCACTGTCAAAGCTTCCACCCAGGTCCCGGTTTAGCCAACACAGCCTCACGGCACTGCAGCCCAGCCACACAGCCTGCCAAGGTGGAAGGATGGAGAGGGGCTGCCTGCAAGATGCCTGCTGCCTGTCACCACTGATTGGCTGAGAGGCTGCCTGTTGTGTGGCCATGCCGCTCTCCACCAATCCGTGATGGGGGGGTGAGGCTACATGATGCAACACAGCCTTTGCAACCAATCAGCAATGAGGGGTGGGGCCATATGATGGACAGCCTTGCAGTCAATCAGCAGCAAGGGGTGGAGCCACTGGGATCCCTTGGCCAATCAGTGCTGAGAGGTGGCAGCCATCTTGCCAGCAGCCCTTCATGCCAGCAGCCCCCCTCCTTCCTTCCACCCTGGTGGGCTGTATGGCCAGACCGCAGTGTCATGAGTATGGTTGGCTCCTTCTAAGGAGCCAGCATTTTATTGTACCATGCAGGCATGGGGGAAGAAGCGGCCACCACACACAGCCTGTGAAAATGGTGGCTGGCCCTGGGATTTGCCCACAAAATCAGCTGGCTAGCTCCTTGAGTAAGGTAGACCCCTATAGAGCACCAGACCAGGGGGATGAAGTGGATGAGGCTTTCTTTAAACAGCTAATGGAAGTTTCTAGATCACAGGCCCTGGTTCTCATGGGGGATTTCAATCATCCTGACATCTGCTGGGAGGCAATACAGCAGTGCGCAGGCACTCCAGGAAGTTCTTGGGGAGTGTTGGGGACAATGTCCTGGTGCAAGTGTTGGACAGGCCAACTAGGGGCCATGGTCTTCTTGACCTACTGCTCACAAATTGAGAAGAATCAGTGGGGGATGTAGAAGTGTATGGCAACTTGGGCAGTAGTGACCAGGAGATGACTGTCCAGGATCCTGAGAAAAGGAAGGAAGGAAGGAAGGAGAACAGCAGAGTATGGACCCTGGACTTCAGAAGAACAGGCTTCAGCTCACTCGGGGGAACTGAAGGGCAGGATCCCCTGGGAGGCCAGTCTAAGGGAGCTGGCTGTACTTTAAAGAAACCTGAGGAATGAACCATCCTGATGTGCAAGAAGACTAGCAAGTATAGCAGAAGACCAGCTTGTCTTAGCAGAGAATTATTCAGTGATCTACACCACAAAAAGGAAGCTTACAAGAAGTAGAAACTTGGATAGATGACTAGGGAGGAGTGTAAGAGTATTGCTAAGAAAGGCCAAAGTGCAAATAGAGTTGCAGCTAGCAAGTGACATGAAGGGTTTCTACAAGTATGTCAGTAACAAGAGGAAGATCAGGGAGAGCGTGAGTCCCTTACTGAATGTGGCAGTTGATGCAGAAAAGGCTGAAGTACTCAATCCCTTTTTTTTTTTTATCTCAGTCTTCACAAGCAAGGTCAGCTTCTAGACTACTGTTCTTTTCTAGTCCTACACTTAAGACAAAACAATCCCATGCACCAGTACAGGCTGGGGACTTACTGGCTAAGCAGCAACTCTACAGAAAAGGACATGGGGGCTACAGCAGATCAAGGAAAGTAATTATTTTCCTCTATACAGCCCTGGTGAGGTCACATCTGGAGTACTGTGTCCAGTTTTGGGTCCCCCACTACAGAAAGGGTGTGGACAAATTAGGAATAGTTCAGCAGAGGGCAATGGAAATGTTTCGGAGGCTGGGAGACATGACTTCTGAGAGGCTGAGGGAACTGGACTTATTTAGTCTGGAGAAGAGAAGACTCGGGGGTGGGGATTCAATAGCAGCCTTCAACTCCCTGAAGGGTGGTTCCAAAGATGGAGCTGGACTGTTCTCAGTGGTGGCAGATGACAGAACAAGGAGCAATAGTGTCAAGTTGCAGCAAGGGAAGCGTACATTAGATCTTAGGAAAAACATTCTCACTAGGAGGGTAGAAAAGCACTGCAACAGTATACCCAGAAAGGTGGTGGTATCTCCATCCTCAGAGGTTTTTAAGACCCGGATAGACAAAGCTTTGGCTGGGATGATCTAGTTGGGGATAGTCCTGCTTTGAGCAGGGTGTTAGACTAGATGACCTCCTGAACCTAATTTTCTATGATTCTATGGGCAGGAAATATGGGCATTGCCACAAGGCACACTCATTCCTAATTCCTAGTGTGGGCATACCTTTCTGACTGAGATCTCACAGGACTCCTGTAATATAGGGGAGTATTATTGAGCCCCTGTTGCGTATGGGTAAAGATGGGACCGAGATCAGCCTTGAGGTAAGCTCATGCATGGGCTAGAATTTGAGAGAACTGGACTGAGCTAGGCTGGGATTTCAGAGACCTGACTCTACCAGGGCTGCCCTATAAGTCACTGGAGGAGCCCAGACTGCAATTTATACCTGTTACTTCCCTACCCTCCAGGCAGTCTCACAGGCTGTGCCACTTCCCTTGTTTTAGAAGGGCAGATTTCTTCTTTACAGCGTTAAGTCTTAGCCCCAGAAGGGGCAGAAGCTCAGAGGCACAGGCCCAGGACTACCAGCCTAGAGCAACTGGAGCCTGGAACAAGTGCTAAGAGTGGAAAAGCTGCCTTGGTACATGACTCTCAACACTGACTAAGGCACGTTAATTTCTGTAGTCTTCCTTAAAAGCTAGTCGGCCTGCTGTGCAGACAAGATTCAGTCCTAGGACTTGTTCAGCCAGAACGTCTTGATCAGTTCTGCTCCCTGCCCATTTTCTGACAATGGCTTTTCCTAACTTTGCTCTTCCTAATTCTTGTTGCCTGAAAGAAAAGACTTCCCCAAATTGATAACACTATTTTTCCGCACATGTCAACCCTATAAAGGGGGCACAGTGTGGTTCTGCAGCTGCAGCACTGGCCTAGGAGTTCAGACCTGAGTTCTAGTCCTGGCTCTGCCACTGACTGACCTTCTGGGTAACCTATAGTTTCCTTCCCCTCTCTGTGCCTCAGTTTTCCTTTGTACAAAATGAGGATGATGATGAGACCAATCTCCTTTGTAAAGTACTCTGAGATCTCTGGGAATGAGAATGTGTCATTACCTCACACTGAGAGCTCCAGGTTGGTAATCTGTGAGTGAGTGGGGAAGCAACCGGACTCTCAAAGTGTTCTTACTTGGGTGAAACACTCATTCTCACATTATACATTACGATTTTTACACAAATTGGAAAGGTTTAATAAAGGAATAATCCTCACGGTGAAAAATGGCCAATTACTTGCTATAAATGATTGCTAGAATGAGTCAGTCGGTTGCCTATAACCTGCTCCTGATGTGCCTCTGACACTTTACTCATATTACAGCATGCTTATAAAATCTATCAACTATTTATTAACCCTCTATTAATACAGAGTAAGTGACCACAAGCGCCACAAAGTCATGCAATACCTCCAAGGATATAGGTAGAGTATTTCCTGCGGCACGGCGGGGAATACTGCTTGAAAAGCAAAAGAACACGGCACGGTCGTGCAAGAAGTGAAGAACACCCTGGCAGCCTGGCACGGCAGAGAAAGCTTGGGGGGGGGAGTCAAAGCGAGTTGATATTTAGACCGAGCACCAGAGTCGGTGCCTAAGGAGTTTGGGGGACGTAGAACAAGTGCCCCAGGTCTGTTGCAACAACCTCATCTGACAGCCATGCTGTCCATGGGGGGAGGTAGGGATGGCTGGTGGTTTGATTAGATACATGGACATCATTTATATAGATTGATGTGTATAGATAGATGTGTATGTATGTATATAGATATAGGTGTATATGTATGTATGGGGGGTGTGGATAGATTTTTTTTTTTTTTTTTTTTTTTAAGGAAAACTTTTCATGTTCCCAGACAAATCAATTCCAAATCCGTGAGTGGTTCAAGAACCAAATGTGGCTCTTCTCTCCGCAAACATCCCCGTGGGGGCGTCCTACGTGCAGGCCCAAGCCCGGAGCTTGGGGTTCGGCTGCCCCCGAGTTTCGCTCGCCCTCAGAGCAAGCCAGGGAGGAGTCTCCCACTTCCATAAAGCCAAGATGTTCCCGCTGGAAAGGAAAGTGGGAGGTGAACTGTACATTACCTCCGCGGCACTACCCCGCGCCAGAAAAGCGGTTATCCCCGGCCCCTAGGAAAACCGCCTGAGTGGTCGCGGTTTACACGGACGTGGTTCCTCTGGGATCCTCAACCCCTCCAGGTCGGTGTGCGGCCTAGGACCAGCGCGTGCCCCGGGAGCGCGGGCGCAGGCCCAGCCCGGCCTTCCCGGCGCCCCTCGCGCCCGCTCAGCCTCCCCCGCCGGGCTCCAGTTGCTATGGAGACAGCGGGGG